TTTGAAATGTTCATCATATTTTCCAATAACTTAAATAGATAGTTTTAATCACGAGGATTCTCCATCTTCTTTTTCAACTCTTGTTTTCTTTTCTAATTTGCCCGCCTTCTTCATCTTTTATTACCTTTCAATAATACCTGACTGACCTTGACTTTGCTGATGATCTTATTTAAATTTCTCAATATATCACGGATGCTGCAATCACTTGACATTACATTTGAATAGTTGGAGATTATAGCTATCAGGGAAACAGGAAAAGGAGAGGGAGTTCCACTGGCGAGAAGTGCGAGACATGACGCTATTGGAGTAGAAGAGACGGCTACATTTAACATTTCGCGAGATGTCAGACTAGGTAGGTCTATTGCGACGTGAGTAAGACAGAATATATTTCAACCTCCCCTGAACTATCCAAGGGGAAGTCAGTCAATAATACATCCATCAAAAGAGTTGAGGACTTCAAATATCTTGGATCTCACATAATAGATTCTCAAAAAGACTTTAATATCCACAAAGCTCTTGCATGGGATACGTGTCACAAACTTCACAAGCTTTGGCGCTCAAACCTACCATCCTCCAAACGTTTCGAATATTGATTGAACCATTCCTACTGTAGGAATCAGAAACTTGGACATTATCTGTTCGTCTTGAAATGAATGGAACTGAATGGAACATAGAGAAATCTACTTTGAAAAAATCCAGAACGTAAGTTGGAAATCCGATGCAACGCTTAACACAATCTAAGGAGAAGTGAGATCAATCTCTCTTAAGCTCAAACAAAAAACGATTACAGTTTGCCAGCCACTGCCACCGAGTGGACAGGGAAATCGTCTCATCTTTACTCATATGGCATCCTTCTGGAAGTGTTTTCTCACGAAAAATGACTTTCTCAGACACCATAGGTTGGGCATTGGGGGTCTGGAGACAGTAATGCAGGGTGAAAGAGTGTGGAAAGAGATTGTCAATGGAGTTACGACCAACCATAGAGAGGTCGAAGGATGATGATGATGATGATGATGATTACTTTTCTCTTTCTTATCATTCTTTCTTTATTTTTTTTCCTTTTTTTTATCTTCTTTTTCATCTTTTCTTCCTCTATTTCCTTCCTCTTTTTCTTATTCGTTTTGTCTTTCTTATTTTTTTGGTTTTCTTCTTTTCATCTCCCTTTCTCTTCAAATTCTTTTTCTCGTTTTCTTCTTTCATTTCTTTTCTTTATTATTATTTTTAATCTTTTTATTCTTTCTTCCTCTACTTCTTTTCTCTTTTTCTTATTCGTTTTGTTTTTCTTCCTTCATTTTTTCTTCTTTTTCTTCTTCATTTCCTTTCTATTCAACTACTTTTTGTCGTTTTCTTCTTTTACAAAGTAACCAAAAAAAGTTCTGTCCGTTATTAAAGGAAAAAAAGAAAACGCTTCCCAGTATGTGTAACTTATATTTAGTCTTCGAAGTAATCGCCATCGGCATCGAGCACCTTCTGCCAACGTGTCTCCAGTTGTTCAATGGCCTTGCGCCAGAAGGATCCAGCACTGGTGGAACTCGGGGGGTTTTGACGCAAAGAAGTCCGTGAGGGCTTTGCGCAAGTCTGCTTCATTGGTGAAAGATTTCCCACGAAGATGATGATCCAGGGAGTGGAAGAGGTGGTAATCGGATGGCGCAAGGTCAGGTGAATAAAGTGGATGGCACAAAGTCTCCCACCAAGTTGCAGTATGTTATCCCTGACCACTCGCGCGATATGCGGCCTGGCATTGTCATGGAGGAAAAACACACCTTTGCGATTAACCAATGCTGGCTCCTTCTGGCGCAATGCCTGTTGCACACGTTTCAATTGCTGCGAGTATAGGTCTCCAGTGACTGTTTGGCCCGTTGGTAGCAGTTAATAATGAACCACTTGACGACCTGTCCACCAGACACAAAGGATAATCTTGCGTGTGTGCATTGGCGGTCTTGCAGTGTGAGGGACAGCATCCTGAGGAGACAACCAATGTCTGGAACGCTTGAGCATTTCGTACAGAACCCACTTTTCATTACTGGTAGGCACTCGATTGAATAAGGATGCGGTACGGTGGCGAGAAAGCAGCGATACGCAGGCTGCCAGTCGTTGTCCCTTGTGGACCTCCAACAGCGTTTGCGGAACCCACTTGCTCAGTTTGTACGTCTTACCACTGCGAAACAAATCTCCAGACTTGAATTTTCGAAACCAACCCCTTGCAGTACGTTCATCTACAGCACTATCCCCAAACGCTTGACATATGCGGCGACCTGATTCAGCTGCTGATAAGCCCACTTTGAAGTCGTAAAGCAAACAGCCCCGAACGAGATCTCTAGACACTTCCATCCTTCTCACAGCTGTCCGGCTTATAACTAGTATTTAGTCATCCCACCCCACGAGGGTATCATGTGGCACAAGGCCGGTTTAACGTGGGATCTCCGAGCCCGTGGGATCTCCGAGCCCGTGGGCTCGGCCAAAATATGCCCTTTGAACCGTATAAACGGGTTCAGGGTCGGTTTACCTCCCCGAAAGAGACTCCGCCCTTCGGCGTAGACTCGTTCGGGTTCCTCCCCGCCCGAAGGCAGAGAGTTCAACCGATCAGCCGGTCAGCCGGCTTATAACTGATGGCCGGGCACGGTTCGCGTGTTTTTTTTTATAACGTCTGATGTTCCTACTTCCGGCTGTCCGAATCTGAAAACAATTGCTACACGCATTTCGTATATATTTCAACTTCATTCAATGACTAATCAAAAAACGGACAGAATTTTTTTGGTTACATTGTATTTCTTTTTTTTCTTATTATTCTTTTTTATCTTTTTATTCTTTCTTCCTTTATTTCCTTTCTCTTTTCTTTAATCGCCATTTTTTCTTCATTTTATTTTTTGTTCTTATTCATTCGTAATTTCTTTCTTTCATTCTTTTCTTTATTACCTTCTATCGGGGTCCCTGTAGTTTCCTTTCTATGTGTGCTATCAACACTGTATCGTCTGTATATATAATGTCAAGATTGTGGCTGCCAGTAATAAATCCTCGTAGAACTTCTAATTCTCCCAGGATTTCTTAACTGTAATGATTCAAATAAGTCTGGTAAGAAAAGACAACCTTCTCTTAAACCTTTTTTTCCATATTTACTGACTTCATTTTCTATCCATATGCAGGTGGTTTGCTCCTATTATAAGTTCTGGATTATTCTTATATCTTTTCCAAATATATCAAGTTTACCTAGCACTTCAAATAGTTCTTTGTGATATAAGAGATTAAAATTGGTTTCTGATGAGTGATAGTTCTATGCTTATTGAATCTGAGGTAAAGGAAACTTCTAAAACATTCTTCGAGAAGTTTTCCATTTTCTTTCCAATGCAAGAAAAAACTGTGGAAATTATTAGATGCATTAGAAATGTCAATTTATTGATTTTTGTCGGATTATAATATGAAAAATTATTGCTAGGTTGTATTGAGAGAATAAGATTCAATTGATTTAATTTGTAGTAGGTTATGTCACAATTTGTAATGTTGAACAAGTTAAAAATGTTACGTTGTTTTGCGATCATAATTTCAATTTGATGTTCTCCGTTGGGAGAAAAGTAAATAATTAATAACGGAGAGAAACCATAAATTCTGTCTTGTTACAATTAATAGTCTTTTCTTGATTCTGTACTAACTTCTGTAGGAGTACCTGCAATATCCTTTCCGTATCTGGTATCAACACTATGTCATTTGCGTATCTTTTATTGTTAAGATTATTGCCGCCAATAATGAATCCTGATAGGACTTCTAATTCTCCCCAAAACGCCTCACTGTAAAAGTTTAAAAAGTCTGGTGAGCAGACACAGCCTTGTCTTACGACCGTTTCTATTTTTTGTGAAGGTGTTCCGAGAAATTTTGATAATTCCAGTATCGTGTGTGATTCATCGTTCATCGTAAATTGAAACTAAAACACTTTCATTGATAAAACCCCACCACGGTGTTGCATCGTGGTTATTCTCATAATACTCATTTAGTCTGACTTATTGTTGTAGCATACCTATGAACGATAATGGGTATGCCCTCATTCACATAAATACTGTATGTTGGTCTGCAGTTGGAGATTCGACCCCCAGACGAGGCTATGTCAAAAGGTCAAATCCTCGTCTCGAGAAACAGCTACCCGATCCCGTTTTATACAGGGCCTACGGGGAATTTTTGGCCGAGCCTACGGGCTCGGATAACCCACATTAAATTCGGCCTCGTGCCACATCCGACTAGGTGGAGTGATTGGTAGATATCCTGCATTCTTCTACGCGCTGCTGGCGAATCTTATATGTGTTTTTCTCATCCTAAGTATTATCGTTCATTACCAACCTTCGTGTGATTATTCTTTTCAGTAACCTTCCCTAGATTGTTGCAGTTATTTGAGTATGTTTACTAGTGAGCTAGCCCAAATGACTTGACTCACTTTATAGTCCACCAATAGAAGTTTAACCAATCAGAAGACGTAGAATATTCAATCCGTCGTGTATAAAAGCGGCCATTTTGTTTACTCTATCCGAATGTCCAGTGCCAGCTTGTCAGGCGAAGATGATAGAAGGAAGCACTACGCTCTGCTACTTTGCTGCGATATCCACTGCTAACCTGAACTACGCTTCCCTACTGTCTTCGAAATATTCACTGCTAACCTCTGGATTCTATACTCAAAGACGACCGTCATCATCTGCCCACATATATAGCTCTTTTGTTTCGTTCTGGTACGAAGGGCGCTACCACTACACCAAGGCGAGATATCATCAAAGAGATATAACCGGTGATGAAAGATAATATGCCCCCCACCGCAATGAAAGTGAGGAATTAATGATAAATGACCGACGTTTATAGAACAAAAGTCTGTAGAACTTTCGAAGGGTATCGGCGAACATAGAATTGTAAGAAAGAAAGCCATTGATTCTTAAGAGTTTAACTGTGATATGTAGCTTACCCATGGGGCAGCATCTCGGGTGAAAATGGGCAGCGTTGTCCAATTCATGTCGTGAAGCAGATGGTCATGTTTGTGTTCGCCAATACCGTATAGATTGGCTGAGGGTAATCGTGTAGTCAGCTGTAGGAATTGGTCGCTCATTATGAAGCCAGGAGGACTGCAATCGAAACTGGAATAGATAGATAGATAGATAGATAGATAGATAGATAGATAGATAGATAGATAGATAGATAGATTTTAAACAATCTTAGCCTGTTCATGCCTACAGTTAACTCTTACCTTTCTCATAATACACCATAAACTGTACATTTTACTGTTCGTACAACGACCTCCTTCAGTAACACTCTTCATTAAGAGGCTCTTGGGCCTTGGAAAGATTGAACATTATTAACAAAAAAAAGCTATCTATGTATATATGATATATAGATACTGAAACCCCTACGCAAAAAAACGCGACGTCATCCCGATTGATTGGCCCAGTTTCACCCGAATCCAGAATAACACCCTCAAGGTATAAATGAGCATTCTTTAAATTATACTTCTGAGGCTAATTTATGTCCCCTTTTACCATTTGTATCAATAACTGTTTACTTACTTTATTTTACGTGATGCCTCCTGTAAACAAAATGGTAATAATGGTAGCGTTAATTGTAATATTAGCTGCTTCCTTATAAGGAAACATTTGACGTCAATTCTGCTATTTGTTGAAATTTATAAAATCTTTCTGTTAAAATATTTTTTCAAGAAAATAGGTTTCTCACGTCCATTAAGTCTTATCGCTCTTTCTAATGTTGAAGCGATAGAGAGCGCTTTCCTTCCTAACTTTTTGCATGAAGTAGTGTGGAAGATCAACATCTTAATTATGTCATTAAATCTTAATTACCTTATTCTTAATTATTTCATGCTGACATTCACAGTAATATTAGTAGTTTCCCTATAAAGAAATATTTAGCATTTATTGACCAAGCAGAGATTACCTGGATTAACCCCTTCTAGAATTTACCCTTGTTGGGCTTAGCCTAGTCCAGTAAAGCGATTAACAAAACGTAGCTTAGCTCTTCCACAAGGCCTAAAGGATTGAGCACACAGTGAGGAACTAAATCACTACCCAGTCATGATCAGTGTAGCGAGATATCTTTGCTAACCATTACACCACTTTGAAGTGACCTCAAAAAATTGATTTACCTAGCGCAGCTTAGATATGTCACAAATAAGTATGAATGGGCCACCCAGTGAAGACTGAAATCACTACTCAGTCACAATTAATGTAGCGAGTACGAGCCTGTTAATCATTCTAACACGTTCTCAACCAATTCTAGAATAACACCCTGGGTATGAATGTGGTTACTTCCTACCTCAAGAGATGAAATAATCTAGGTTTAAAGTATATTTCTTAGGATACGTCTTTTTGCCATTAGTAATATTAGTTTTTCTTAACTAGAATTTTATGTGATGACTACAGTCTATAAATTGGTAACACTGGTAGTGTTAATTGTAATATTAATCGCTTCCTTATAAAGAAAATATTCGGCATTCATTGATCGAGGCATCAATGCTACTATTGCTTCAAATTTATAAAATCTCTCTATTCAAACATTTTTTCAAGAAAATAAGTTTCTTCAGTTCATTAATTCTTATCGCTCTTTCTATTATTGGAGAAGTGCTTTCCTTCGTAACATTTTACAAGAAGTTGTTTGGTAAGTTAACATTTTAATTATGCCATTAAATCTTAAATACCATATTTACATTATTCGGACTATTGTCCTCATCTTTGTCGCCATATTTATCACAACGTTTCGGCCGTTGTACGCTCCGGCCTTCTTCAGGTGGTTGGAATGTCGAACTGAACCCTTTATTTCGCTCACTGGGGTAGACTGTTCTAGTTCCACGTGCCATGTTTGATGGATGTCAGTTATCAGTTATCTCCTGTGAATTTCCCTCTGTAAGTTCTCCACTGCCTTCACCGGGTATTGAACTCACACTTTTTGGGTCCTGTCACTGGATCTAACCTAACCTTTATCCACTGTGCCATGTGTCCTTGAGGACATCTGGGTAGGAATTTCTAATGTCATCAGCAACCACTTTTACCAGTGCTCATATTGCAATTTTGCTGTTATCAATCAAGTTTTTACCAGATCTCATATAGCATCTTTGTTATCATTGCTTTTTCTCTGGCACTCCTTATTACTGGTTCCCATATTGTATTTATTTCTATGCTTTGTCGGCTCAGGAGATTTTTGTAGCCTAGCATATGTGCTGATTCCTTAAGTTTACAAATTTTCCAGACAGACTTAAGTACCTTATTCTTAATTATGTCATGGTGATAACCACGGTCAGTGATGCTGTTGTTTGAAATTTATAAAATCTTTCTATGAAAATATGTTTTCAGGAAAATAAATTTCTAAAGTCAATTAACTCTTTTCACTCTTTCTAGTATTAGTGGGGCTTTCCTTCCTAACTTTTTGGTTGAAGTAGTGTGGAACTTCAGTATCATAATTATGTCATTATTTTATCTTCGATGTATATGAGATATCCATTTTAGTCGTTGCAACTGTTGGTAGTCCCCGAGTGATATGGCTTTTGTTATTTGATACATTTCTTTGTTCGTAATTCTGTAGTGTCAGTCCGGTATGGGGCACCCATTGACGATAGAACACATTACTCAGTCGTGATTAATGTAGCGAGACGAGCTTGTTAGTCCTCACACTACGTCGAATTATTCAGCCAAGTCCAGTATAAAACCCTAGATATGATTGGCGCTAACACACTTCATACCTCAAGACACAAAACAGACTTCTTTAAACTACACTTCAGGGGATAATTTATGCCCCCTTTACAGTTAGTATCTTTTACTCCCGTTTTTCTTAACTATAACTTTATGTAATACCTCAGGTACAAAAACTAGGTAACAATGTGTTGTAGAGTAGTTTTCACAGTGGAGGCTTGTATTTCAATAAGTCGTCCTAAATTAGGTTCGACGTACAAAACGTTAGGAACTTGAAAAAAAAGAGTTAATGACGCAGCAATCTAGTTGTGATGGTTGATACTCCAATGTCCAACATCGACTGACTCACTCAACACCACTGAGCCGAACTGGCGACCGCTACTACTACTACTTATGTGTGGGAGAGTCTATTAGTAATAGAATAGGTACGTCAGGTATAACACAATGACAGACAAACGACCCATTTTCAGTCATTTAGACTGAAATCAATAGGTATAAAAAAGAGGAAGATATTATAATTTACTCGTTATACACATGTGTATAAACTGGCCTAGCCTAACTGGTATAAAAGAGACTAAGTTAGAATGACTAAGAGTATACTTCTGGCTTGGCAATAGTCTACCGAATGTTGTCATTGGTACGAGGATTGTCTTGTTAGAACATATTTTAACTTTAGAAAAATCAACGTTTCACTCAGTATTAAAGCTTCGGTGTTGGGTGATAAATACTGCCGCCAAAAATTAGATTTATGGCTTTTATCAATTTTCGAGCATTTACTTTTAAGGATCATCTAAAACATGTACAGAAATACGTAATTTCCACCCGTCCTGGGTATGACGATAAACTACATCCGCGTCCTGGGTAAGACGATAAACTACATCCGCGTCCTGGATATGACGATAAACTACATCCGCGTCCTGGGTATGACGATAAACTACATCCGCGTCCTGGGTATGACGATAAACTACATCCGCGTCCTGTGTAAGACGATAAACTACATCTGCGTCCTGGATATGACGATAAACTACATCCGCGTCCTGGATATGACGATAAACTACATCCGCGTCCTGGGTATGACGATAAACTACATCAGCGTCCTGGATATGACGATAAACTACATCCGCGTCCTGGATATGACGATAAACTACATCCGCGTCCTGGGTCCTGGGTAGACGATAAACTACATCCGCGTCCTGGGTATGACGATAAACTACATCCGGTCCTGGGTACGATAAAATACATCCGCGTCCAGGACGATAAAATAAGACGATAAACGATAAACTTCGTCCAACAGCAAGGCCTCTGATCAGGAGGTTTTGAGGAGAGTGGAACTACCTCTTAATTGCTGGTGTTCCCAGGTCCATACTGAACCGGGGTGGTAGCACCTGTCAGGGTCCCACTATGGACAAATAGTTAACCCCTCCCCCTGAAAATAATACCAGCAATACTTTTTTTTTTAAATTATTACCAACAATACATTTTTTAAGAAAGAAATTATTACCAGCAATACATTATTATCAGCAGTACATTTTTGAAAAACAAATATTACCAGCAATACATTTTTGAAAAAATATTAGCAAGAATCCCTTTTCGAAAAACCATTACCAACAATACATTTTTGGAAAAAATATTACCTGTAATAAAAATCCTCTCGGCATTAAATAACCCATTGAGGTTGATATACCGTAAAACAAACCAAACCAAATCCAATTTCCACAGATTTTTGCTTACAAAATGACTTCAAAATTTTACTATTTCAAGAACAAATTTAAATAAAATTGATAACTTTTGTATTAGAGGCATTGAATGAAAAATATGTTCAATCCTAAATTCTAATTATAGCCACAAATAAAATATGCAATATTTTTATTGTATTCGATAAATAAAAAAAACTATGTACAAAATTTGTAAAAAGCTTACAAAAAGGTCTCCCCATTGAATAAGATTTGTCAAATCATTTGCTTGGTCATAATTTTTTTTTAAAATCAGATAGATAAAAGTATATATAACTCCATAAAACTGTTGGGCATAAATTATAAAACAAAATGATATAAATTTGCATTGTTTATTGAAAATCAAACTAAAACTAGTGCACTGCATAGCATATTACATCATAATATAGCTAATTGTTAAATATCCCTTTAAAGTAAACGATGTTATTATTTAATGGCACGATAATTTAGTAATAATGTGCATGTGTCATGCGTCTTGCTCATATAAAATTTGTAAAGCTTCAGTAAATTCTAAATTTTATTTGGCAGTGCTATGTTTTGCCTGATCAACAGAATGAAATTCCAACACTTAATTTTGAACCTAAACTTAATCTTCAAACTCGTTTCCTCAAAGAACTGTGACGATTTGAAAGAAATATATTCTGCGTCATAACTTATCATACCAAACTCTAACTTTCATATTGAGTGCAATACAACGGTTCCAAGATGGACCTGCTCTGTCGTATTACTGGACGAAGAGTTTGTTCTTCTACCGAGAATATTGGTCAAGCCCCCGTGAGAGGCATCCCACCAGTCAGTACATCTCTTCAGGAGGGGGTTGGTGCCATTAACTGGCGCCTGTGGCGTCCCTAAAGTGAGAAGTGCCGAGGGGGATTAACTTTAAACAGACCTTGAGTCACATTCAGTTACGATACCTACTCCTGGCTGCTGCTACTGTTGTTGTTGTTGTTGGGGGGGGGGTAGTTATAGAAGTATTATTGTCTCGTATCACTGGCGTACACAGAAGTTCGCCCTTTTGCCGAGAATATTGTTTAAGCCTCAGTGAGCTAACCCTGCAGGTCGTACATCTCTTTCGGGAGATATTGGGTTTATCGCTCGGGTTATGATACATCCCCAAAATAGGAAATGCCGATTAGTTTGGAGAATTATTCTACTATACTATACGATACGGTGGAGTAATGGATAGTGGATCGGATTGAGCAATCGGCGAGCCGAGTTCGAATTCCTGTCGAATCCGTCATATTCACTTATGTGCTAATACCCTTACACTTACCCTTACCAGCTATGGGTAACTAGCAGGACAAATGGATGGCAACTGGTCTACCGTAGAAAGAAATGGCAACCTACTGCGGGAAAAAATCTGCCTCGTCAATCATGTATCGAAAGATACATGATCGCCTACGCGTGTATCACGCATGGCACATAACCGACTGACTCCCGATAAACCAACTCTAAACTCGACCTTATCTGATATGCCGTTGCAGTGTGAGCGCACGGCTAAATACTTATTCTTGGCTGGTGGCAAAATATGGATGTTTACAACAAGCCGTCTATTTGAAACAAAGATATGCAAATTATAGTGAATTTAACATTTCAGTGAATTTAATATGTCAGCACATATGAACTACCTGGAGGGTTGCATATCGAATATTATTCGCTTAATTTTGGTGCAAGACCGCAGGTATGAAATACCCAGAGAGAATCAAACTGTTTAATAATGTTGTACCGGTACAGCTTGTAAATCATTACACTATAATGAGGCGACGAGAGGTCAGATGACAAAAATATATCCACTTACATTACAGCTCCAGTTGATCTTCGAATAACTTTTACTCCAAAATTTGGTTCGTTGGTAAATTGTATTTCATACAAGGTGTCAGTGTCATTCTCTGGGTTCTTTTCGGGTCGAGTTGTATTCACAGGAACCTCAAAACGAGGTGTATCTGGAAAGAACTGATAGAATAAAAATGAATTTAATAACAGTTAGTGTGGCACAACGCATATTTTTTTAATTCCTCCTATTCTGTTTTTACGCGTATTTGTTTATTTATTGTTTTCGGCAGAATAATTATATTTCACCTGAAAAGAAAGATGGGGATTTTTTTTTATCTACTCATGTTAAAAATGATCGACAGAAAACTAGAACTAAAAAGAAACTAATGCTGAAATTAGAAAGGGTCAGTTGAAAATTCTGGTCATTGTGTCGTGCCAGATTTTTTTTTTCTGGTTAAAAGCCGACTTGCACATTTATAAATTTCCCAGACGTCAATGCATTGTTTACTGCAGTCATATCTGGTCTGATACTCTTGCTATAGATCTCTAAATTCTTGACAAAAGAGGAGACACGGTAGGGTAATGGATTGCGGCACGGGTCGGGGAATCGGAGAGCAGAGTTCGAATTCCAGTTGAGTCCGTTAAACTCACTTACTTATTCATTAGTTACATCAATTCAGCTATTTACTGATAGGACATATCACATACTTCCATGGAGTTGACTCACTCTTATTTCCTCTGTGTTCCAAACACAGTAGAATTCCTCATATCCGGAATCCCGCATATCCGGACATGATTTTGATGTGTATATTTGAACTATTTGGTCGATATGTAACTGATTTGAAATTTCTGTTTTTTCAGGAAATTTACTTTGGATAATTGCTTATGCTTATTTCACCCTAATGGCTTGTATTTGGTGCAAAAGATGATGGGAATAAAAGGAAAAGAACAACTTTGGAGTTATTGCAAAAAGTGGAAACTTTAAACAGTCTAGACGCTGGTGAAAGTTCATTGTAACTAATGGCTGAATTCAACATAGTAAAGTCAACATTGAATGATTAAAATCTTCCAAATAAATTATTCTCCAGCGTTCTGTCACAATGAACAAGGAAATAAAAAACATCATTGTAATGAAACCTGGACTGAAATTGAAAAAGTTGTCAATTTTATGGGAAGAAAGCCAGCATTCAGCTATGACGATTGCAATAATGCACGTAGAGTTAAAAAAATGTGTTTTGTTTAAAAATTTGAAGAACAAAAGCAAAATGAAATACGGAAAAAGTTGAGAATGTCATTAGAAGAGAAAGAATCATCATGCAACAGCGATTAAAAAATCCTCGTTACATTATTTGATTTGCATACGTGGCATACTCAATTTAATGAATTTTCATTAACATTACATAATTTATTTCTTTTTCTTTAAAATCAATTCCGTTATATTTCACTCATCATTAACTTATTTTGTTTAGTATAAAACATTGAAAAAATTGAAAATAATGTTAAACCTGATTTCAATTTTTTTTATATTAATCTAAATATAAGCCTTCATATCCGGACTTTGTAACTTCTCATACTGGAATGCCTTCTTAGTCCGGTTGTCAGGGATTCTACTGGATGTTTCGCTCAGAAGTTTTTCACAAGAACTGTTACTTTCTGGAATAGACTCCTGAGTGAGTGCTTCCCTCAACACTTTCTTCTTGATCTCTTCAATTTAAGAATCACTTGTTATCTATTCTCCTTATACTTTCACTTCGAAACATCTCATCTATTCCTATCTTAGACTTCATACATTACCATTTCGGTTGTAACCTTCTACTTTCAGTGGCCCTGGGTTTTGTATTCGGTGTTATTTAGTAATATATATCTATAACAATAGAACGTATACTTTTGTCTGTCCAGTATATGTTTCAGCATCCCATTTCTCTAATTTAACTTCGCTTCTCAGGATCTTGCGAGAAAGAAATGCGAACAAACATAACGGAAAAGAACAACGCTGGGAGATATGGAAACTGTCTGTATTCTGAAGCGAAAACGAGGCAGCATGACTTTCTGCTCCTGCGCATGCGCTCTGAGTGCGCTCAGCACTTATTACATTAGGGCAACGAGTTGAGGAAGTTTTTAATGCGTTTTTTCTACCATCTGAGAATGATGAAAGCGCCGCGGCATTGTTTACGTCCAGCTTCCGGAGTGAGGAAAATGAATTATATTCGAGACTAATGGACGTTAAGAAAAGCATTAATGTATGAATTCAAAACAAACATGGATCTACAGATAGATAGATAGATAGATAGATAGATAGATAGATAGATAGATATTTGTATAAGGAAAAAAACAATAGGCTATTTCGTCCAGAAACACTTTGCACAGTGACGCTTCGCTGGTAATATATATATATATATATATATATATATATATATATATATATATGTGTGTGTGTGTTTGTGTGTGTGTGTGTGTACACACACACACACACACACACACACACACACATATATATATATATATATATATATATATATATATATATATAAAATCAACTGAACAGTATGTTGAATTGTCTGCTTTTATACTATGATAACTTTCATCATAACCGAAAATAGCAGAATCTATCTATCTATATATATATATATATATATATATATATATATATATATAGAGAGAGAGAGAGAGAGAGAGAGAGAGAGAGAATAAAAGAAGTTAATCGTTAAATAGAATTAGATCAGCAAACAATAGTATTAAAATTGCTCAATACACATATAAAAATTTTTTAAAAATAACATATAGAGCTGTTAAGTTTTAAAAAATTAAGAAATCAGCCGATTCCACTACCTTGGTTTAATCCTTTCGGTATCTTCAGGTGATTTTTGTTAATTGATTTCCTAACGAATTATTTTTTTAAAAATAAAAAAAAAATATGATCACTATGTTTTTTTTTTTATTTTGTTAACAATGTTTTGCTGAACGTTATTTTTTAAATTCCTGGCGTTTTGTCTTTTTATTGTTGTTTCTAAATTACTAGTACAGTTGTAGCTTAATTTAACTGTGTTTTTATTAAATATTTTATGTAATTCAGAATTTTGGGGGAAATGTTTTATTAAGTTATTTGAAAAATATTTTCCCTATTTTATACTTGACCTCTAAGTTAAAAACGGTGTTAAGCCAAATATTTTCCTTTTCCTCGAATTGTTTTTCATTTTTTTTTGTTTTATTTGATGTTTAATTTCCAGTTTGCTTTCATACGCCTCTTCTTTTAAAGCCCTTTCATATTCTTTTTTTTTTATCTTCGAAAGTTACCCTGAAGACAGCCTATATATATATATATATATATATATATATATATATATATATTTTCAGGTCATTTGTATCTATATTTTGCAAATACCTTTCTTTTTATCTTCGAAAGTTACCTGAAGACAGCCTATATATATATATATATATATATATATATATATATATATATATATATTTCAGGTCATTTGTATCTATATTTTGCAAATACCTTTCTTTTTATCTTCGAAAGTTATTTTAAAAGGACGTTACGGATTTGCTTTATTATACTTGCAGGGTGGTTGTTAACTGTAATACATGCAATTGTAGAAATAAACACAGATGTCCATTAGATGGTGTTTGCAAAATATAGATACAAATGACCTGAAATATATATATATATATATATATATATATATATATATATATATATATATATATGCTGTCTTCAGGGTAACTTTAAAAAGAGGGGTTACCGCAAGGAAAGTTGGCTCCCTGTGCAGCGCCAGGAAATTTTTCTCGCCGGAGTCGATCCTTCAAATCTACTAATCAACCATTCGCCCTTGCATGGAGTATTGCTGCCATATATGGTCTGGAGTTCCTTCTGTTTGTTTCAATGTCCTTGATAAAATCCAGAGACAGATATGCAATGTAATTAGCCCTGATCTGGCATCTCGTCTGCAGTCGCTCTCTCACAGACGTGCCATTGCCTCCCTCTGTCTTTTTTACAAATACTTTCTTGGTAATTGCTCCGATGAGCTACTTTCGCTGGTTCCCAGACTTCATGAATTTAAGCGTTCAACTAGGCTGGCATCTCGCTCTCGCCCTTTCACTGTCGAAACTGTTAAATGTAGCCGTCTCTTCTACTCCAATAGCTTCAAGTCTCGTACATCCCGCCTGTGGAACTCCCTTCCCTTTTCCTGTTTCCCTGATAGTTATAATCTCCCACTATTCAAATGTAATGCCAACCGACGTCTCCAGATGCCCTGATCTATCCCCTATCCTTCTCTTCATCCTTTCTATTTCACTCTTATTTGCTCTCTGTAACCCCTTGCGAACGAGTGGCTTCCTGCCTTGCTTGGGGCGAAACGCTTAAAAAAAATAATAAGTCATCTTTTAAGCTAGAAACACTTAAAAAGTCTACTAAATTAAACAACCATGTATGGGAAATTAAAGATAAATAATAAGATCCGACTGTAAGTTGGAAAAATTTCTTTAAAAAAAATACAATCATAGCAACATCTGTAACATTTGTCAACAAGAGAAATTAGGTATAATAACATTTCCAGACCAAAAAAAAAATCTCTTAAACCAGAGAACTGAAATTATGTCCCGTTGTATACATAGTAAAAAAAGTTCCTTTTCTGTTCATTTGAAATGGGATAAAAAGAACGTACGTGCATTTCATCAAACTCTCCACCGATACATTTTCAATACACTTCATTTTCCCCTCTTCCTTCTCCTCCTCTTGCTCCTCTTCACCTTTTACCACACCTCATGCCGTGCGCTTATTCATTTATTCATTTTTTTGAAAAAATAAATCGTTAAAAAATCAATTGACCGAAATCGCCTAAAGATATAGATAGATAGAGACAAAGCGAGAGACAGAGAATATATATATATATAAGCCAGAATGTGTGTGTGTGTGTGTGTGTGTGTGTGTGTGTGTGTGTGTGTGTGTGTGTGTGTGTAACGAATGCACGGCCGCAATTTTCGACGGATTTGCACAAAAATTTAAATACACATGCTCCAAGTTAGCTCCCAACTCCCATCGATAGTGGAAATAATCGATTTTTTCATGCATCTACGGCAGTTTTCATGTAGTTTGCGGCCATTTTCTACTGTCCAGAGTGAGAGCCTATAGCTGGCTGCCACGAATAGGTAGGAAGATTATATTGGCCAGCGTGAAAGCCAACAGCTGACTAACACGAATGTTAACTAGCATGCTAGCATGCAAAAAAAAATCGATAACTGCATTCAAGTGGGAAAAATTTAAATCTGCATGACACTTTACTCCAATTGGCTCATTCGCTTGCTTAATCTCAACGTTGATTCTGATTCCGCAGAACTGGGTTTGGGTGTGAAAAGTATTTGTTGTTAACATTCTTTTTTCATTCGGTTTTTCCAGTTACGAGTCCTTTTTTAAAGCTGATCGTTTTGTATTCATTTTGTTTAGTTCTTTTTTCGTAACAGATTTAATGTTTAGTGTAGAGCTTAGAAAAAAATTCGCAGTGTGAGATAGGCAAGAAGTAAGGCATGTAGCAACATCAGCACGGCAAAGGGCACTAATTTAAAGGCAAAGAAAGGGCAAAAATATTTTAAGTCAAGTGATAGCGATTGCTGTATGAGTCGTACGATTTTTGAATCAAGCACGGGCAACGCCGGGCCATGCTGCAAGTTATATATATATATATATATATATATATATATATATATAGTGTGTGTGTGTGTGCGCGTGTGTGTGTGTGTGTGTGCATTTGTATATAGAGCGATAAATACAGAGATAGAAAGAGAATAGACACGCGCGCGCGCACACACACACACACATACAAATATTGTAGATTTCTATAAGCGCAAAGTCGACAGGTGTGAGTGTGACAACCATATCTCTTCTTTCGGTTGCTGGCAAAATCTTTGTTCATATCATCCCGAATAGGCTTAATGAATTTGTCTCAGTATTGACATTACCCGAGACCCACTCCGGTTTTCGATCCGGTAGAGTGGATATGAGATTTTTGTCTGCAGCAGGCTCAGGAGAAGGCAAGAGAACAAAACAAGGATCTGTTTATTGTTTTTTGCGGAATTCACAAAGGCTTTCGATACGATATGTTGAACTGCTCTTTGAATGGTTTTATCAAAATTAGGTGTTCCATATTATTATCTCCTTTCACGTAGGAATGAAACCTTTTGTAAGCTCGGGAATTGAGTAATCGGACGCCTTTTTCATCTCCAACGGTACAAACCAAGGTTGGTTCTTCTTCCTCTTCTCTTTGCACTTTTCTTTTGTTCTATGCCAGAAAATGCATTCTCTGAATTAAGTGAAGGCGTGACAGGGCAATGTCTGACTTAAGTGAAGGAGTGAAAGTGCAAACTCTGACTTAAGTGAAGGAGTGAAGAGGCAATCTCTGACTTAAGTGAAGGAGTGAACAGGCAATCTCTGACTTAAGTGAAGGAGTGAAAGGGCACTCTCTGACTTAAGTGAAGGAGTGAAGCGGCTATCTCTGACTTAAGTGAATGAGTGAAAGTGCAAACTCTGACTTAAGTGAAGGAGTGAAGGGGCAATCTCTGAACTAAGTGAAGGAGTGAAGGGACAATCTCTGACTTAAGTGAAGGAGTGAAGAGGGAATCTCTGACTTTAGTGAAGGAGTGAAGCGGCAAACTCTGACTTAAGTGAAGAAGTGACAGGGCAATCTCTGACTCGTGAAGGAGTGAAAGTGCAATCTCTGACTTAAGTGAAGGAGTGAAAGTGCAATGTCTGACTTAAGTGAAGGAGCGAAGAGGCAATCTCTGACAAGTGAAGAAGTGACAGGGCAATCTCTGACGTAAGTGAAGTAGTGTAAGGTCAATCTCTGACTTAAGTGAAGGAGTGAAAGTGCAAACTCTGACTTAAGTGAAGGAGTGAAGAGGCAATCTCTGACTTAAGTGAAGGAGTGAATGTGCAATGAGCTGTCTTTGTGCCATATATGAGAAAAAATGGGATGAGAGGCTCAAGAATAGTGCAATACTGAAGAAATGTAACAACATCACAGGCATTGAAACCATTCTATCAAAGATGCAACTTATGTGAGCTGGTCATGTTGTGAGAATGGATGAGCATAGGCTTCCTAAAAAGGTGGTGTATGAACAACTACCAAACTCCAAGCGTTCACTTGGACGTTTAGTTGACACTACAAAGACAAATTGAAGGACAACTTGAAACGTCTCGGCTTTTATCTGAAAACCTGACAAGTCCAAACAGCAAACGGAGAAGGAATGGCGTACGATATGTTTCATTAAGTTAAAGGCTTTTGAAGACATTAGACTGAAGGACAGTGATCAGCTTTCACAAGTTTATTAGTACGAAGTGAATGTAATTGTTTCGACTGGAATTCGAACTCCTCAGTCCGAGCTGTTATCCATTACTCCTACTTTATATATATATATATATATATATATATATATATATATATATATATATATATATATATATATAAGAAAAAAAAAAACGGTGAACCAAATTACCAACAGGTGTAAAACACTGATCCTGAAAAGTCTCGAACAAAATGGCAATAAGAAAAAAAAAACTAAAGGCAAACCTCTCTACTCAATAAAGTACAGTGTTCAAAGTCTAGACTGTTTAGACAGATAAAAAAATGCTTAACAGCGTTAAATTCCATGAAAGAATGGCCCTCGTCGTAACCCAAGTTCTACGCTCACGGGACCTTTACAAGACTTGAATATATATTGGAGAAGAAGATATATAATTTTATGTATACCAGAACAATATTAAGAAAATTAGCGAACACATGCGTACGAAGAGGAGAAGTCGCGGAAATTTTTAATATAAAAAAAATTAATTTAATACTTTAAAATTGTCCGCTTCGTGCACATGTCCTCTTCGTGCACATGTGTAGTTACTTGAAGGGAAAAATCATTATAGACAGATAAATTCCCAAATGTCGATACGCGTCACATAAAAAAATCTTACCACTCTTACCACTTTAATATTAATATTCCTATATATATATATATATATATATATATATATATATATATATAAATTTTTAAGTGTTTGATGTTCTTTAATTAATGATTATTTTGCTCTCCTTGGATCTATATCCTCCTGTAAATTCCATGCAGATTATCATTTTGTATCATTACTATATAGATATAGTTTGGATGGACGGTGTAGTAATGGATAGCGGCTTTGATTGAGGAATCGGAGAGCCAAGTTCGAATTCCAGTCGAATCCACTACATTCACTTACATGTTAATACCCTTGGGAAAGACGTGAATCCTCTTCTTCTCCCTCCAGCTATGGGTAAATAGCAGGACGGACTGAGTTCTATAGCCTTGGATGGCAACTGGTCTAGGAGAAGGACAACTCTGAATTCAAAACCTGCGGAGGGTCGTTTGTGAACCTTGTGGCACTTAGTGCACCAGGTCTCTGTATTCTGCCCTTCAAAAAGTGTGAATGGTCCTGCACGAAACCTTCATCACTATAATCAAATCTCATGTGCTGTTGTCGGGCTGTCGGTTTCCTAGGAACTGATCTGCTTGAACCTCATACGTCGAATCCGACGGGGAGAATCGAGTATATATATATATATATATATATATATATATATATATATATATATATATAGTACACACTCCCACGTATATGTAAACGTTAAATAGTGTATGGAATTAAAATAAGGATATACCTTTACCATACGTTATTGGTTTTGTTGAATGTAGTTCGGCCCTCACTGCTCATAACTGCCTGCAATCGCCACAAAAAAAGTCTAGAAAACGCCAAATGCAACTACGCTAGTTCAGTCCCGACGAAGGTTGAAAAAGAAAAACATTGGATCCTGTGAATTCTGTGAGATCATCGACCAAATCGTGAACAGAGGTAAAGCGGTTGTGCCCACAATTATAAATGAACCAGAGATCATATCTTCCTCGATAGATAAGTCGATTCTCTTCACCTCCATCATTGTCTCTGACTAAACGTTAGATGACAAAGACCATTTCCTTTCCCAAGTTCCCACGTCTCACTGAGAACAATCTCAGTGATTTTATCATCACAGCACGAGAATTCTCAAGACATATCAAAAGCCTTGACCCTAAGAAAGTCACTGGTCCAGACTAAATTCTACTAGCTATCCTTAAGAATATCAACCCGGAACTATCCCCGATTCTAGCAAAGTTAAAAACCGCTGTTTGAAAGAGAAATCCTTTTCAGTCCGTGGAATGTGTCAATCGTATGCCCGGTTTTCAAGAACGCCTGTGTACGATCTTCCCTCTCCCAGGACTGACACACCAGTCTCTTCAGTATCACCAGTAAGTTTTTTAAGGCCATAATCAATAAGACGGTCGTCGAGTAACTGGAAAAAACAATCTCTTTAACGACGAGCAGTATGCCAACGTCCTAACTACGGTCACTCACAGAATTATTGAGGCTCTTGACGACAAAAACAACTCGAAGACCATAGCACTAAATATCTCAAAGGTCTTCGACAATGTATGGTTTAAAGGTTTACTACACAAGCTCTCCGGTTTTCGAATCACTGGAAGGGTCTTCTGGATCATAAAATCCTTCCTAACAGGTAGATCCCTGAAGGTAGTTATTAATGACTGGTACTCCGGATCCCTAACGGTCAACGCAGGCGTCCCCCAGGGGTCATTCCTGAGACCAACCCTCTTTTTGATCGACATAAATGATCTTTCTAAGTATAGATCATTTGTAAACATCTGTGCCGATTGATATGACTATATACGGGCGCATTTTTAAAACTCTCGATGATCAGAGATTGGCGACTGATCTCTCTTCCAATCTTGCACAAATTACCCAATGCTATATATATAGGAATCGGAGAGCCGAGTTCGAATTCCAGTCGAAGCCACTACATTCACATACATGCTAATATCCTTGGGAAAGGTGTTAATCCTCTTCTCCATCCAGCTATGGGTAAATAGCATGACAGATTGGGTTCTATAGCCTTGGATGTCAACTGGTTATTCAATGCCTCGAAGACCAAACTAGTTACATTCCATCATCGCTTATCTAACCCCGAACTATCACCAATCAGGGTGAACGATATATATATATATATATATATATATATATATATATTAGGAACATTAATAACAAAGTGGTAAGAATTTTTATGTGACGCGTATCGACATTTGGGAATTTATCTGTCTAAGCCCCGTGACTTGAAAGACTGTTGGGTCTCAAACTCACACCTGACCAGAAGTGGAATTCGTACATACGATCAAGTGTTAAGGATGCAGCGGAAATGGTCGGGTCTCTATACCGCACCTGTAAGTACCTGACTCCTCTTGCTATCCTCTACCTTTACAAGAGCTAGTAAGGTTTTGTCAGATTTGGCTAGGCCTAACTCTCCAGTCTTGATAAAGTTTAAAAGGTCTACGAGCCCTTGAGGGTGACGAATTATTCTCCATCCTCCAAACTCTCTCCCACAGGCGGGATGTGGCATGCCTTTCGCTGCTCTACCGCTACTTCCACGAAAAGTGCTCGGACGAACTACATTCCCTGGTCCCACCAAGGCAAACCTTCAAGGCAAGAACACGCCATGCCATTTACATAGTAGCAAATCACCTATATTTCCTCTTTATTCCATCGGTGAGAAGTTCCAATCGAGCAGCTCCTTCTCGTGATCATTTTACCTACATCTTTGGCGATGGGTCGTATTTAATAGTTCTACTTGAGGTCGGATGTGAGTTTGAAGCCTAATATATTCTTTTAAGGATCTAAATATTATCAGCATCGTAAATAAGTGTCTATTAGCTACACCCTAGCATTATTTGAAAACGTTCAAAATTGTGAATAAACTGTCCAATGTTCATTTTATTGTTCTGATTAGTCTCTTTCGTTTTTGTTTTTTTGTTTTTTTTGTTTTTGTTTTTTTTTTTTTGTTTTTTGCTTTTTTTTGGCGGTGGGGTATCACTTTCATCCTTCTAGGTTAATGATAATGACTGTTACAGTCGGGCATTCTCGACAAACAAGCAAATAAAAGCATGATCATTGGACAGTTTAATTAAAATTTCCATCCAGTTAATTGACACGCCCCGACAAAAATAACCTTACGTTTTAGCCGAACTCTTCACGCCCCCGTTGGCCGTATGTGTCCTGCAAGACTGGTGAGTGATTTTCAAAATATTAATTTTTATGTGTTCATCATAACATTCAGAGACTGGTTTCGTACAAAGAAAGGGAAGCCTGACTTTATTCAACCAATATTTCACTTTGTATCTTCATTAATCCGAGAAAAAAAAATTCTCGTCATCCCTCTCAGAAAATTCGTTCTTAGTTTCAAACAAAACGCGAGGTCGGGTGGGAGCTGAAATGTGGGTGTCGGGAGGCACAGCAGTTGACGTAATTGCGTATTTCCTAACGATCTTGGCGTTCGGTGTTCGAAACTAAATAATCGTCGGGATGTTAATTGCTGATTTTTCAAGCAGGCATTTTCTCCTACTTGCTAGATTAATACGACACACTTTTTAAACAATATCTAGATTCAACTGTCTCTGTGTTGAAGTAAACGGTGTTTTATCTACATGGGAGTAAAAGGGGAAAACATAACAACTCATAAAAAAAAAATAAAGAAACATATTAAAAACTAAAAATGTTTAAAAAAAAAGAAACAAGAAAAATGATTGGAAAAGAAATTAAAAATTAAGAAAATTTAATTTCCGAAGGAGTAAAAATTAAACCGTAAATCTATATAGAAATTTCATTTTATTTAAGATGGCGGTGAATACCAA